ATATATATATGTAAATAATATATATCTGAAGTTAAGCCGGCCATACACTTGTAGATTTTATGAGCATTTCCTTTGGATTTAACTTTCGATTTTGGAATGAATGGAGTTTCCAAATGAAAACCACATTCACTGTTAGAATTTTGCTTGTTGTTTTGCTCCATGGATATTTTTTCCATCACTGCAGTCATGAATTTGTCCCCATTAACCATTAGAAAATTGAACATATGTTCCAAAAAAACAAATGAGATTCTAACCGCGTATACCCCGCATTTGGCTTTAATGGTGTGAGAAGTAATGGGGCCAGCTTCTACTGAGCAGATAGAATGAGGAATTAGGAGACCTAGCTGAAGGCATTGGTGGGTTACAAAGGGTATCGAGGGCTACAGATTTGATCTCCACTCCCTCGAATTCCCCCCAATTCCCCATTGCATAGAGCAGTGGTTCTCAACCTTTCTAGGGCCGGGACCCCTTGGAAACATTTGCCACGTTGTGGTGACCCCCAACGGTAAAATTTAGGGATGCACTGATATTAGTATCTTTGTGGGCTCTTGGGAGGCTATGCAGGCTCTCAGATGGCTAGTGGGACCCTCTGTTGGCGTCCAGAGCGGGCTCTGTGGTGCCCAGTGCGGGCTCTGTGGTGATCAAGCACTCACATCCCCTCACTCCTGCCTGCTCCCCTCTCTCTGATCCTCTCTGGCCTCTGCAGCGCCATCTATGAGAATTGACACTGCCGCGCTAGGAGGAGGCTGAGGAGCTCTTACCTAGAGCAGCACAAGGCATGTGGGGACCCCCTCAACTGTGGGTTGCGACCCACTTTTGGGTCGCGACCCACAGGTTGAGAACCACTGGCATAGAGCATGAGCCAACCACATACAGTATTTTGCAACTTAAGCTACCCATGACCGGCCGCAGTCACTGTTCGGCCTACAATTTTCCACCCGGCTCCTTTAACAAAAGTCAATTGAAAACTAACTTTTGTTGAGCAAAATGGTGCCAGGGGGCCCAGCCGCCCATAGATTGAATTTTGACTGATTCAAAAGAATCGATTTCGATCTGTGTATGACCAGCTTAAGCCTGACTGTGAGAACAATTATAGCAAATAACATTAGCACCAAATAATCTGTTCTAACTACAGAACTGAACAGATAAAACAAAATGATAAAATAGAACAATGATATAGGAGAGTAAATGTAAAAAAAGCACTTTATTGATCATGGGACACATCATTATATATATAAATATATTTTTTAAGAAGTATATAAATTTTTACTATGAGAACACAGAGTGGCAGATTTGTGGTGAACATCGTAAAAAAAAAAAATTCAATTTCACAGCAAAACATTTAAAGAGGAAAGCTGCCAAAAAATAATCAAAAGGAAGTGGAAAATTGGAAATATTTGTTAAAAGTTCAGGTGAAAAACCACACATTTAAAAGGACGGTCTGACACGCGAGAGAGGGAGAGTGCGAGAGAGAGAGAGAGCGAGCGAAGCTTCTCTCTTCAGTTTGCTCACTTAAGATTTGAAAATGAAAGATAGGAGCTGATTGGTTGCCTTGCACAGCCTCTCCTGATTTTGTCTGCTCCAGTTGAGAGAGAGAGAGAGAAAGAGAGAGAAAGAGAGAGAGAGAGAGAGAGAAAGAGAGAGAGAGAGAAAGAGAGAGAGATTATACCAATAGGGAACAAATAAAAGTAGTTCAGTGTTAGGGGTTAAATATACATAAATGAGCAGTTAAACTTTTCTTTCTCTTTTATCATATGTTAAAGGAGAATTATGAGGCGAGTGATTTTCACTCAGCCTCATAATCTGAGCCGACCTTTGACAATGAAACTGTCACAGGTCGGCTCAGTAGATAGGGAAGTGAGCGAAAACATACCGTCGCTCGCTCACTTCTCGATCTATCCCTGCAGAGAGCCGTGACTGTCACAAACGGCTCCCTGCAGGGATTCCCCCCCTCCCCTGTCCGATCCTCCAGTGCTGACTGGCAAAACGGACGGGGGAGGGGGCAGGCACAGCTGGCTCTGCCTCTAGATAGGCAGAGCCAGCTGTCAATCCCGCAGCTGGGTGGATCCAGACAGTAATGTTGGTTTCCTACCCGGCTGCGGCGTCTCAGTATACTGCAAGCTGTAGCTCACGGTATACTGAGCTTTGGGTGACGGGAGGACGCTAGTTTATGTCCTCCCGTGACCCTTAGGAGAACTATGGCGAAAAGCCCTGACCCCATAGTTCTGCTTTAAGCTCACTAGAGAATCAGATATTAATTAACAAAACAATCGAAATGAAAGCCAAAAAGCAATCAATCCGTTAACAGGGATGGAATTGGGGTTGTTCTTTAGAAAAGTTGAAAAGTTGAAAAGCTTTAAACTGCAAGTTTGGGCAAAACGTTCAATGTGGCACACATTGAAAGTTTTGCCCAAACTTGCAGTTTAAAGCATGGAGACTTGTGGAGAACATAAGACTCAGACCATTGAATCAAACTATTTTTTGAAATGTTTGCGTTGGATCTGCAAGTGGATATACATTGATATCTAGATGAGGTGGTCTGTAATGAAACCCGACCTTTGTCATGGTGCAGTCGCATAATGGCGGCAATGCTGCACAATGACCGCATGGCCACATTAGCTTCACACACATTCTGTGTTGAATTGTTCTGTGAAGACAACGAATATGGTAAAAATAAATAAATTAAATTAAATTGAGGAAATGGAATAGATTACATCAAATGATCAATTTAGACCTCATTAGTCAATCAACCCTGTCACTGTTCTTTCCCAACCTTCATATAGCACCAAAATAAGAGTCTTTCAGGCTTTGAAGCCAACCGAACATTGGATGTTGGAGGGATCGGCCCCATCTAAGAAGGCAAAGACGAAGTACATGACCTTTCGGATTTTGGCTAGCTCGCACAACCTTTCTCCAAATTCTTGTGCATCTGCTTCATTGCAATCAACCTCAGTCTGTCCTGTGTTCATCCAGAAGATGGCTGGAGGGTCAAGGAGCTGGCGGCTCATAAGATTGGTGAGATCCGGTGTCCAATGTTGGGAAGTCCCAGTGATGACCACCTTGCCGGGTGTTTTAAGGTGGACCTTCCACCATAAAAATCTGAGCTTCTGCTTGCCGAAGTCTAGACGGTAGATGTATTTAATCTTATAACACTAACTAGACCACAGTTTTGTCCCTTATTAACCACAGATTACGTTGTACCATGGTAATCATGATTCAGTCAAGATCCTAAATCAGCATCCCAGCTTGTTAGAGCAAGGTGAGGTCTGTCATCCATTGTTGGGAAGTCCCCGGGATGACCACCTTGCCGGGTGTTTTAAGGTGGACCTTCCACCATAAAAATCTGAGCTTCTGCTTGCCGAAGTCTAGACGGTAGATGTATTTAATCTTATAACACTAACTAGACCACAGTTTTGTCCCTTATTAACCACAGATTACGTTGTACCATGGTAATCATGATTCAGTCAAGATCCTAAATCAGCATCCCAGCTTGTTAGAGCAAGGTGAGGTCTGTCATCCATTGTTGGGAAGTCCCCGGGATGACCACCTTGCCGGGTGTTTTAAGGTGGACCTTCCACCATAAAAATCTGAGCTTCTGCTTGCCGAAGTCTAGACGGTAGATGTATTTAATCTTATAACACTAACTAGACCACAGTTTTGTCCCTTATTAACCACAGATTACGTTGTACCATGGTAATCATGATTCAGTCAAGATCCTAAATCAGCATCCCAGCTTGTTAGAGCAAGGTGAGGTCTGTCATCCATTGTTGGGAAGTCCCCGGGATGACCACCTTGCCGGGTGTTTTAAGGTGGACCTTCCACCATAAAAATCTGAGCTTCTGCTTGCCGAAGTCTAGACGGTAGATGTATTTAATCTTATAACACTAACTAGACCACAGTTTTGTCCCTTATTAACCACAGATTACGTTGTACCATGGTAATCATGATTCAGTCAAGATCCTAAATCAGCATCCCAGCTTGTTAGAGCAAGGTGAGGTCTGTCATCCAGTGTTGGGGAGCCCTCATGATAACCACCTTGCCGCATGTCCCAGACGGTAGATGTATTTATTTGCTTTTAATACTTTTTTTTCACCTTTGTTTCATTGTGATCATGATTCAGTTGAGATCTTAAATTCGGCATCCCAACTTGTTAAAGCAAGGTGAGGTCTGGCATCCAGCGTGGGGAAGTCCCCGGGATTACCACCTTGCCGGGTGTTTTAAGGCGGACCTTCCACCATAAAGATCTAAGCTTCTGCGTGCCGAAGTCCGGACGGTAGATGTATTTAATCTCTGGATTAATGATTTCATAACCTTAACTAGACCACAGATTTGTCCTTTATTAACCACAGACTAGTGTTGTTTCATTGTAATCATGATTCAGTTGAGATCCTACATTTAGAATCCCAACTTGTTAAAGCAAAACTCCATTTTTAGAAAACAAAAAACTACATTGCCAAATTTGTCAATAATTAACCACTTGCTGCCCAGAGCAATTTCTTACACTTGCACACACATGATAAAATCTACATTTTTGGCTAGAAAACAGCGTCAGACCCCCAAACAATGATATATGTTCTGAAAGCAGAGGCCCTGTAGAATAAAAAGATGCTAGTTTTTTTATGTCGCACAGTATTTGCGCAAATGCCATTCAGACCCGAATGGCATTCAGGAGCTCCCAAATGCAATTTGGAAATTCAGGACCCCGAATGACTTGCGGGTCTAGGAGCCTCAGCTTTAGTATTATATGTATATACTGTATATGGCTCCCATACTGCCGTAACGAAAATTCGTCTTCAGACCCATTCGGATGCATTAATCCGAAAAACACATCTGATAGGCCAGAGAAGTCACATGTCCGATTCAGTTTAGTTTTGGAACGAAATTCAGACGGGATCCGAAATTCGGAAATGGAAATTCAGATTCGGATACATTTGGATGCATTGGGATTCGGATGTGTCCAAATTTTGGAAAATTCGTCTGAATTTTGATCCGGAACTAAACTAATCGCACATGTCTAGGTAGTACAGTTACCGATGTACATCTGACCAACTCTCCACCTCTGCAGTGATTCAGGTGTTAGACACCAGCACACCCATCATGTCTCACCTCTACCAACACTTGCCCATTTACAATTGCAGCCTGTGGCTGTGCCTTGGTAAGGGTGAAGACATAACACTACAGCTGGGGTCTATCTAACGTGGAGAAACTATGTCGCTGGTGGACCTAAAGTACTGTGGGAGCTGTGCCATCCAAAGAAGAGTTCCAAAGTCCACATTACAATACAAACACATACCAAGCCCCAGGGCTGGGCCAAGAGGCAACTGCCTTGGACGCTTTAGCAGGAGGGGGGTACAAAAAGTGGCAGGACTGTTCTCCTGCACCCACTTTGATTTTCTTGCTCTTCTCTCTTTCCTTGTACCTCTCTCTGTTACCCCCTAGTTGTCATGTTTCTCTGTCTATGTCCTTTCCCTGAGTGCTATTTGTCCCTTGTTTCCCTTGTACAAGAGGGAAAGGGTACTCCGTTATGTATGCAGTTTCTCTTTTTAACATTTATTTTACTTCCGAGTCACTGGAACAGTGGGGTTTACGCACTAGGGCGGGTGTAGCGAATGGTCTCGTACCCTTGTTGCAGACTACTCTGTGAGACTTGAATACCTGCATTGTCCCGTATCAGGCCCTTGCTCAAACATCTGATTATCATTATCTGTGATGATACCATGCTATGCCAGGTTGATTTGTATATGAAAAATGTTCTCAATAAATAAAGATTGCACTAAAAAAAAAACAGTACCCACCCTCTTCCCCATTCATGTGTTTATTTACCTATTAGTGATGGCAGTGGCCAATGTTTGCATCCTTGGGCCCAAAATCTTCTCGAACACTGGCCGTACTTGTGCAGTAACTCTCCATAGACTTAGATAGGGCTGTACCCCTAGTGTCTCTAGGGTAGGTGTATGGCTCTATTCAAGGCTAAGGAACTAAGTGAACAAGTGTGGCTAGCATCTTGGGTTGGATGTAAATACCCAAGAGGGCCAGGTCATGAAGTGGGTGATGGGGGTTTCTATGTTGGATTATTTTTGGGATAAGGAAGAGGCTTCTTTTTTTCAAAGTGTAATTGTCCTCAAAACCTTTGAAAAAGTTGTACCCCATGATCCTGGCCAAATAAAAAAAATGTGAATGCTTGGGTTGCCCAAGAGTACATATGTGTCTATGCAATGGGTGGCCACGTGAGACAAATAGGACTTTGGGGAGCAAGGCGGGTAACAGTGATCATGATAACTGTTACCATGATAACCACCTTGCCGGATGTCCCAGACGGTAGATGTATTTATTTGCTTTTAATACTTTTTTTTCACCTTTGTTTCATTGTGATCATGATTCAGTTGAGATCTTAAATTCGGCATCCCAACTTGTTAAAGCAAGGTGAGGTCTGGCATCCAGCGTGGGGAAGTAAGTCCACAGCTCATGGTGAGGTGTACTTTAGCCTTATCTCCTTGTCCCGGCACTGCTAACCCCCGCTTAGGCTATGGAAGTCATGGTGCCCGGAGAGTTGGGCTTGGACTGGCTGCTGTGGGGTCATACAGACAAAGATTTATTTTAATAAAAGAATGTGAGACGGGAGGTCATTTGTGCCTCTGTAGCTCATTAGATGGCACAGAGGAATACCCTCATCTGACCGTGGAATTAGTCAGCTACAAAAGACATTAATATATTGTGAAGTAATAACATTAATCTAATTTCTAGAGGTCACATTACTGTTACTATGAGAATGGATCTTAGACTTCCATTTTAATCTCATCACAAGAAGAATTAAGAAAGGGCAAGTTCTGAAGATGAATAATAATGGTTCAGTCCACTAAATGTGATATTTTAGAGTTGGGCGAGTTCCAGCACTTTGGCTCCACCATCAGCTGCCCATCCCAAGCGGTCAGCTCTCCGCACCCGAGTTCACCTTGCTTTTGTTTAACTGGTACAGTTGGGGTGCAGAGCCAGTAACCTCAGCGAATCCTAAAACGGGTAAGGGTAAGATTCAATAGTCACGGCCAGTACTGAAATCAATTTGGGGTGATCTTAGAGTTTTAATAGCAATTTTGCCCAAATAGCTACATTTCCTATGAAAAACATAAGGAACGTGTTTAAAGGACAACTGTTCCTTTAACAAGGCAAAAAAACCCACGCAACAGCCTACCTGCCAGATCTTCTCAATCGAACGTAACCCAGTACCCACCCTCTTCCCCATTCATGTGTTTATTTACCTATTAGTGATGGCAGTGGCCAATGTTTGCATCCTTGGGCCCAAAATCTTCTCGAACACTGGCCGTACTTGTGCAGTAACTCTCCATAGACTTAGATAGGGCTGTACCCCTAGTGTCTCTAGGGTAGGTGTATGGCTCTATTCAAGGCTAAGGAACTAAGTGAACAAGTGTGGCTAGCATCTTGGGTTGGATGTAAATACCCAAGAGGGCCAGGTCATGAAGTGGGTGATGGGGGTTTCTATGTTGGATTATTTTTGGGATAAGGAAGAGGCTTCTTTTTTTCAAAGTGTAATTGTCCTCAAAACCTTTGAAAAAGTTGTACCCCATGATCCTGGCCAAATAAAAAAAATGTGAATGCTTGGGTTGCCCAAGAGTACATATGTGTCTATGCAATGGGTGGCCACGTGAGACAAATAGGACTTTGGGGAGCAAGGCGGGTAACAGTGATCATCCCCCTTGCTCCACAAAGTCCCATTTGTGTCACGTGGCCACCCATTGCATAGACACATATGTACTCTTGGGCAACCCAAGCTGTGTAACTTTATTGTGTATTGTGTTCAATCGATCATTTATCCCAGAAGTGGTCAGCTTGTGGGCATCTGCAGACATGACACCACCACCCAATCAGGATTTGCACCAACCAACCCAAATACCACCCCGTCCCACCCTTCAGCTTCCAGAGCACTTAATACCATGGTAAGCTGCATCTTAGTTATACCCTTAGTTATGGCCCACTAAAAAAAGCGACCAAAAGAAACATAAATGCCTGGGTTGCCCAAGAGTACGTATCTGTCAATGCGATGAAGAACAGGTGGCCAGGTGACATAAATGGGACTTTGGGGAGCAAGGGGGACTACAGTGAGTGGAACAATCTATATTTTGTTCAATCGATCATATAGAAGTGTTCAGCTAGTGGGCATCAGCAGACATGACACCACCACCCAATCAGGCTATGCCCAAACCTACCTAAGCACCACACCTTCCTGCTTCCACAGCACATACTCCCACTGTAAGCTTCATCTCAGCTTTCAGCTAGTATGTAGCCATTCCATATAATCATGCATCTGGTGTAATTACACTAGCTGTGTTATTCCTCTTTATTGTTTTCAGGGATATAGTACAAATTACAAACTTTACCCTTGATAATGCATCTGTGATGGAATTAAACCTCCCACCATGTATTTTATGAAAACAGACATAAGAGTGAGTAAATATTACGCTGCGTTTGCTGGAACAAACAGCGGATTCTGCTCTCCAGGGAGGCAGGGGGAACCGAAACGCTTCCAGGCAACTGCACAGGGAAACCAATCTAATGAGTCCTCTGTAGACTCTTCTGACCTACGCGTGTGACCCCCATGGGGAAGAATAACACAGCTACAGCGCAAAATAAGATATCCGAGTCAGTCCCAGCTCAATCTATAGCTGGGTGTGTGAGAGTACATTACCAGTATCTGAGGAAAAAGCTGAATAAAGTATTCGTGTTGACAAATGTCTATATACACAGCTGAAATACATCTCTGTGAACGGACTTGCTTGCCAAAAGAACTGTACAGTAATCCTGTTCAGCAAGTTTCCTAATCCGGACACTATACAAAGTCCTGACCACTTACTCTTCTCCACTGAAGTCAAAGCAATACATCTTGCTCTAGGCTGTGATTGGATAGTGAAGGAGCAGTGGATTACTGATGAAGGCATCTTTCTGCTCTTTCCTAATGTTGTCACCTGGCTGGTTTTGAACTGCACACACTACAGGTGAAAAGTTGGGTCCCCTGCAGTCTAGTTGTACAGGGTTGCAGGTGCTTGAAATAAAGAGTCCCTTGCTAGAGGCCTCAAAGAAAGTAACCGGCAGCCTTCAAAGCTGGACATGTTGTAGTGGTCGCTCTGCTCACAGCCAAGTCATTCTGAGCCCTCCCTATGGCAACCATTTCCATAACTTGTATCCCCCTTTCAAGTTTTCTACTCCTGGGTTCTTTATCTTTCTCTCGCACTCACCTCCAGGTGGGCCTCAGCTTGGAAGAGGAATGGTGGTGAAGTGGCAGCTGGGTTGGGTGTGAGCTGCTTCTGTCAGGATTGGAGTGTCTGTCCTTTGGTTTCTTGCACATCTGTCCAGTGCCTCCCCATAGACATACCCTTCCCCTATGATATATAACCAGGGATCCCAACCTGAAAGAAGCAATTTCAGGGAGGTGTCCCTCTCATTTCAGTGAGGTGCCCTCTTCCCCCACCCAATCCGCAGAGGGGGGCTTAAATGATGGCAGATAGCAAAGGTGACAGCAGCAGTGGGCAGGTGCATTAGCTAGTTTGCTATTGGCTATTGCAAAGTGCAATAGCCACATAAAGGAGTGACAAACCAGCACATTTTGCTAAATGTGCTCCATGCTCACTCCTGTGATGGACTACAATCTCAGGTTTAGTTTCCTAATTTGTATTGAGATTGTAGTCCATCCCGGAAGCGAACTTGGAGCGGTGACTACTTTACAACACACACAGGGGCCATGGGGAACAAAAGTAGCCCCCCTCCAGAAGGAAGGACAGTGTCAGCACCAATTCAGAGATGATTTGAGGATCTACAGCCGAGTGATACACAAATAAGATACATTGTTGTTCATAGTTAAAGGAGAACTATGGGGTTAGGGCTTTTCCCCATAGTTCTCCTTAGGGTAACGAGAGGACACAAACTAGCGTCCTCCCGTCACCCTAGGCTCAGTATAACGCGAGCTGTAGCTCGCGGTATACTGAGACGCCGCAGCTGAAGCGGATCCCGACAATTATGCCTGGATCCGCCCAGCTGCGTGACTGGCAGCTAGCTCTGCCTATCTAGGAGGCAGAGCCAGCTGTACCCGCCCCCTCCCCCGTCCGTTCCGCCAGTCAGCGTGACAGGATGGAGAGGTGAGCGAACGCCGGTATGTGTTCGCTCACTTCCCGATCTACTGAGCCGACCTGTGACAGTCTCATTGTCACAGGTCGGCTAGAACTATGAGGTGAGTGAAAAGCACTCACCTCATAGTTCTCCTTTAAGGTTCTGAAATGTACTGTATTTTTTAAGGCCTCGTTCACACCAGACACAGTGCGTTCCGGCACGATTCTGGCCAGTACGCACTGCATTGCATTGGGGCCGGCTCACTATGCTGTGGGGCAGGAGGGGGCGTGGTGGTCCATTGACGTGAATGGCACCGTAGCCACGCAATGCACAGCCATAATGTGCCTTGCGTTCTCGTGTGGCCGATCACATTGCGGGCCGGAGGGCGTGGCCATTCACTTCAATGGCCCGCCACCCCTCTTCCTGCCCCACAACATAGTGAGCCGGTGGCAATGCCATGCAGTGTGTTCTGGCTAGAATTGGCGCGGAATGCACTGAGTTTAGCGTCAGTTTAAAGTGCCCCTGACATCACACACATTGATCCACAACCAGTTCTAATAAGCTAAACCCACTTACAATAACCAACCCCTATTTTTATTAGACCACTGACACTTTTTTTGTGGCTCACATAGCGTAACACAATCTACCGCTCCCCTCCATTCAGTTGTCCCACAGTCAAAAGGTGGCAATCCTATACTCTCCTTCAATCAGTGAGTTTTGTTAGAGAACTGTAAACTGCTATAAAGGAAATTGGGGAATGGATATAATTATCTTGGGGGGAGCAATTCCAGAAAAAAGGGTACATAAACATTCAGTCGGGTCTCTGGGTGGTGCTATTGTATTTCCTCAGGGACCTGAATAGCAGAGAAGATGTCCTTTCTAGCGTGTACCACCTGAGGCAACCTCAGTCTGTCCTGTTTACATCCAGAAGATGGCTGGTGGGTCAAGGAGCTGGCCATTCATGAGATTGGTGAGGTCTGGTGTCCAATGTTGGTATTCAAAAAACCAAGAAAGGGCGCAGAGAACACTGGCTAGTTAACAAAGTAGTGATGAAAAACTGAAGGTGGTGGCACTTACGTGTGAATGCCAGGATCTGGAGATGGACGGCCGGTATGGAGGATCGGGGCACTCGTGGTGTGGTGTCCGACTGTGATCGATGTATTAATCCAAGAGGTATATCCACGGGAGAGTGTAGATGAGAAGAGGGGACTTCGTCTGAAGTGCCGTGAGGGGTCTGTGCGGTGTGGGAGAGAGGCAGGGGGATCGCTGTGTTATCGGCAATAGGCAGCGGGCAATGGACGGGGCTGAGGCAAGAGGCAAGACCTCGAAACGCGTCGCTCTCGTCCGCTCTTGGATCCCCCTCCACTCCACCATCAACTCGAGCCCCGGCGTCTGACTGTCCCCAGCAGACCCGACAGAGACGGCTCGTTGACACACGCGGCCACGGCTGCCACAGCCCTATCCAACACCCGGTTCCTGTCTGAATGATCCCTCTCCAACACGTCATTGGATTCGACTTGCGGCTTCTGCCAGCTGCTTCTGCACATGGTCCCCAGCAGATCTGACAGTTACCGCTCGCTGAGACACACACAGCTGCGGCTGTTACAGCCCCGTCCATTGCCCGCTGCCTATTGCCGATAACACAGCGATCCCCCTGCCTCTCTCCCACACCGCACAGACCCCTCACGGCACTTCAGACGAAGTCCCCTCTTCTCATCTACACTCTCCCGTGGATATACCTCTTGGATTAATACATCGATCACAGTCGGACACCACACCACGAGTGCCCCGATCCTCCATACCGGCCGTCCATCTCCAGATCCTGGCATTCACACGTAAGTGCCACCACCTTCAGTTTTTCATCACTACTTTGTTAACTAGCCAGTGTTCTCTGCGCCCTTTCTTGGTTTTTTGAATATTTACAATCCACAGGTTCTCCTCCTGTTTTCCAGGGCTGCACACACACCTCTAAGCTAATTTGTTGCCCATCCGAGAGCGCTGTTTATATGTTTTTTCTGTCCAATGTAGGGAAGCCCCAGTGATAGCCACCTTGCCGGATGTTTTCAGATGGACCTTCCACCATAAAAATCTAAGCTTCTGCCACCTGAGGCAAGACTAACACCTTGGTTTAGGACCAATGCACACACGTTTAGTAAAATGTACGTGCACCAAAATACACCTAAAACAGAACACACAAAACGCTCCACATCAAAAGCATTCAATAAAAGACACGTCAAAATAACTGCATTTTACTACACAAGTGATGTGTTAAAACCATAGAAAGGGAAATGAGAACCATGTTGGAGCTCTTCCACCTGGTGACCACTTAGAATGCTTGCTTTATAATTCTATAAAATGGAAGGTGGAAAACGTCTGGTTGGCGAGGACACCATCTCCAATTTGTTGCTCATTTCCTTTTGTCCATCGTTGATCAGCTCCAAGGTCTCTACACAAGAAATGACCTTTGGCTGCTCCAGGTGAGATCAGTTCCATAGTGAATGACCCGCACTCCTTACCTTCTGCCACAAGACCTCTCGAGAAGCCAGCGAGGAGCAGGCCGCCACAAACCAGCAGTTCCCGACCTGTCCCTGATGCAAGTCGTGGGAGCTGATGCCATCCACAAAGAGGCGAGGATCATTGCAGAACTCCTGCAGGGAGAGAACAAGAGGCATGGGGTGAGACGCAGGAATTTTCTACAAGGAGTAATAACCTCAGCACGTGTTATAGTGTTTCTGGTAAACTGATTACTGAAATGCGTTTCTTAACTTAAAGGAGCCAAAAAAAACGCAAAATGAAATGGTTAGGGACAGTTAGTACATGGAGGACAGCCAGGAAAGGAGGAAGGCGAGAACAGAAATTCTAATAGCACTTTGATTAAGATGGAGCAGTATTCGAACTTCTGTTCTCGTTTGGGAGGTTTCCCTGCACTTCCTGTCCCAGTTATAGGTGGTCAACTTGCAGGAGTAGGAGTGGTTGCAGTTGATGACAACTTTAATCCCCTGTAAAGTCTACAGTGTAGAGAGCCTTCAGATACACAAGAGGAGCCTTTGGGATCTTGGCTTCGTTATTCACAGCTCAAAGAGGGGGGGTCCTCATCACATTTTTGCGATGGGGCCCCATGAGTTACGGCCCTGCTCCTCCACTGTCTGAAAAGTGATCTGCGGTGGATCGCAGCTGTCCGGTGTTCAGAAGGCAACACTGCCGCCAGAATGCGTTGGGTTTTTTGGATACCAAGGCAGATTTTCATTGCACTACCTACCATGCCGCAACCATCCTGTGCTGGGGATAACTGTAAAATTGTGAATCTCCCTAATAGGACACAGGCAGAAAAAAAAAAAAAATACCTAACTGATCGTCTAACCCTTCCCCAGTCTATCCAAAACTAAGCGATAGCTCTCAGGAACATCCAATATAAAAGTATACGAAAAAATAAAAAATTATGAACAGCACAAAAAATGCGTAAGAAATAACCCCAACCATTTAACTACTAGAAGCCAATCTGAGATTATTGTTTCTTCACGGGCCTGAGTAAGCACCGAAATACAGAACAGTGTCTGCATGGGACCTGAAGGCTGCATGTGGCCCTTGGACCACAGGTAGACACAGATTTAGGTCATGTATAGCACACATAGCTTTATAGCTTTAACCACTAGGTGGCAGTATAAGCCAGCTGAAACAATAGAGCCATACTGTTACCGGAAAACTATGTAGTGGGGAAGGGTTAAATTCCCGGTCAATGTCCTTCCCTTTTTGTCTTCTGTGTCCAGTTTTGTCAGACTTCCTCTCACTTCTTGAAAAATCTGACGGAGGTTCTGGCCTCTTTTTTGATGTCCCCAAAGCAGCTTTAGGCTGCAGTCAGTGGTGTATCCAGGGCAAGACACATATGGCACATGCCATGGATGCCACTTGAAGGGGGCGCAGTCATTATTCAACCTCTGCCGCTTATGGTTAGTTGCTAGGACACCAGGTGGTCCTAGCAACTGATCAGCAGTGGTAACTTGGGACTCTCTCCCCACTCTAGCTTGTTCTTTCTGAGCTCTTCCAGCAGCTATTGACACCAATGATCTTTTTAGCCATCTATAAAAGGAGGCATCCTTACCACTGGTAAATGTAACATGGGCCTTTCTCCACTGGCCGCCAACGTAACGGGGCATTTCCTCACTGACCACCAATGTAACGGGGCCTTTCCTCACTGACCACCAATGAGACGGGGCCTTTCCTCACTGACCACCAATGAGACGGGGCCTTTCCTCACTCACCACCAATATAACGGGGCCTTTCCTCACTCACCACCAATGTAACGGGGCCTTTCCTCACTGACCACCAATGTAACGGGGCCTTTCCTTACTGACCACCAATGTAACGGGGCCTTTCCTCACTCACCACCAACGTAACGGGGCCTTTCCTCACTGACCACCAATGTAACGGAGCTTTTCCTCACTGACCACCAATGTAACAGAGCCTTTCCTCACTGACCACCAATGTAATGGGGCCTTTCCTCACTGACCACCAATGTAACGGAGCTTTTCCTCACTGACCACCAATGTAACAGAGCCTTTCCTCACTGACCACCAATGTAACGGAGCTTTTCCTCACTGACCACCAATGTAACAGAGCCTTTCCTCACTGACCACCAATGTAACGGAGCTTTTCCTCACTGACCACCAATGTAACAGAGCCTTTCCTCACTGACCACCAATGTAACGGAGCTTTTCCTCACTGACCACCAATGTAACAGAGCCTTTCCTCACTGACCACCAATGTAACGGAGCTTTTCCTCACTGACCACCAATGTAACAGAGCCTTTCCTCACTGACCACCAATGTAACGGAGCTTTTCCTCACTGACCACCAATGTAACAGAGCCTTTCCTCACTGACCACCAATGTAACGGAGCTTTTCCTCACTGACCACCAATGTAACAGAGCCTTTCCTCACTGACCACCAATGTAACGGAGCTTTTCCTCACTGACCACCAATGTAACAGAGCCTTTCCTCACTGACCACCAATGTAACGGAGCTTTTCCTCACTGACCACCAATGTAACAGAGCCTTTCCTCACTGACCACCAATGTAACGGGGCCTTTCCTCACTGACCACCAATGTAACGGTGCCTTTCCTCACTGACCATCAATGTAACGGGACCTTTCCTCACTGACCACCAATGTAATGGTCTTAAATTCTTAAATTGAATCAATTCTTAAATTGATTCCTATGTCAGCATTTTGTGTTTACACCTATGTAACATATAAATATAATAATTATCAGCAGAGGTTCTTCTGAGTTAAAAAGGATTGAGAAATAAGTTCTTGGTAAATGTTTGCTGAATCTCAGACTCTTTAGATTGGCACTTAACAATGGCACTATGTATAGGGCTCACATTATGTCCCGGTTTCCCATCTCAGATAGTGGGTGAGGTGGGATATATATAAAACCCATTATTGTATTCTCAGTAAAACAATGGGCATTGTTAGTACATCCAGAATATGGGTGTATTCATTCTACAGAGGAACAAACACATCAGTATAGGCATTGTGCGATAAGTAAACAGTGACTGGGTCATTGTCACTATACTGGAAGTGAAGGACACATCGCCCTCCTGATTGTGCCCCGTACACAGGAACAGAGCCCTGTATAGGCAACACGGAACAACATGGGCCTGGCTGAACCTTGGGGGAAAGCCAGATAGGCCTGAGCCTAGTGAGGCCAATATAGGTGCCAACTGTCGCGCATTATGTGACAGTCCCTCATTTGGAACCCAATCCCTCCCTCCCCTCATTCGGAACCCAATCCCTCCCTCCCCTCATTTGGAACTTAATCCCTCCCTCCCCTCATTTGGAACCCAATCCCTCCCTCCCCTCATTTGGAACTTAATCCCTCCCTCCCCTCATTCGGAACCCAATCCCCCCCTCCCCTCATTTGGAACTTAATCCCTCCGTCCCTCTTTTTTCCCGATGTACAGATCTCTATTTAAAAAAAATATAATTTAAAGGGGAACTTCCGGAATGATCTTTTTTTAGGAAGCTTACATTGGTCCTGCGTGGCTCAATGTAAGTATCCATATCTGATCTCTGGAGGGCCACTGAGGATGCTGAAAATCACTGCTGTAGTCCGTACTACCTACAGTGACAGCCCTGATCTTCCGAGTGCAGCTCCAGCGGCTTCCCCTCTGCACAATGAAATAAGGGAGGCACCCGCAGGGCACCGCTAACATTTAGGAAACTCCTATTTTTTTTTCAATGAATACAAGGAGTGCACTCATTGGATAAGGTGGAGAGGAGGGGAAGGTGACATCACGATCTCCACCTCGTCCATTCATTTTTCAAAAGGGTCACTGAGCCCCAGTCAATGACTTTGCCTAGGCTGGGATGACGTCATTAGCCTGCTGCAGGCCGGAGGAAGAATTCCTCTAGTAATTAACTAACATTGTCACAGGGTGAGAGGCTGCATCAGGGGCTGATCTGTGTCAGAAATTTGTGATAACAGACAAGAACTGCACATGATCGTGTCATTTCCGAGTCGGCATCTCAGTCAAGGAAGTAGATTGTGAACCTGGATGACCAAAAATGGCTCCATCACTCTAGAGACAAATGTATTTTCGTCATTGTCGGGTCGTTACGGATACCTCTATGAGAGGTAATTAATCCCATGGGGTCACAGTAGATTAGTTCTATGCTGTGTTCACTCTTAGCCTGCATCCTTGACATGTAGTGGGTTAATACCCGGGCAACCGGCACCATGTAATAAACTATCTCTGTATCAGGCAGAAGCAGCCAATCAGCTCCTAGTGCAAGGACTGGATCAAAGATGGAGGTAAGCTGTAGGACCATGCAGCTGCATTAACTAAGAACACAATACAATCCTGCACTATAAATGTCAGCGTGCGTACAAGAAGCCAAGGTTCTGTTTAACCGATTATAAAGATTATCTTAGTCAACACAAATGTTTACAAAGGGCCGAGTTGTACTCTTGGCCGGACACCTGGAATTATGTGTAACCAAAATGAATCATCTCCATGGAATTATTCCTATATATGTTCATAAGATCCTCCATGCAGATAGGTAGGTAGGTGGTGCAAGTCAGGGAGAAGGGAGGTGACCGCGATATGAGCCTGAGACCTGAGGTCACCCACCTGACTAAGACGTGTGGTGGAGGATTCTCTACTGGATCAGTGATAGAACAGAACCGCAAACCTATCCGCAGGTAAAACAAATAACATACACCGGTCAGACCACTGAGAGGTGACGTGACTAACATTGATTATCTAATTTTAATGGCCCCTGGAAGTGGATGGGATATATTAGACAAAATATATTACAATGGCATCTGGAAGTGGGGGGGGGATATATTACAATGGCACCTGGAAGTGGGCGGGATATATGACAATGGCACCTCTAAGTGGGGGGAGAGCTCATCCGTTTCCTCGATCGTCGGTGTGGGCCATCGACTCGGTCTTCTGGAAGGAGCTCCACCCACCAGCCAATGAGAAGAGACCTCACCCCTCCCATCCACCTCACGAGGATCTCTGGCTGGGAGGACGGAGTTTAGCTTGAGAAGCTGATGAGGACACCGTCCTGCACGCTCCTGCCAGCTCCCGCCCGCAAGACACGGCCAGCACTGGCCATTACTGGAGTGACAGCCTGGAGAGC